GACTTCGAGTCAAAGGCCACACAGAGTGGCCCTGACTGCCCCTCTGTAATAGTAACAGTGGACTTGAAGCTGCTCTCCATCGGTCAGGCCAAGGCTATACTTGGAAAGTTGGTTAAGGTCCATGGGCCAGAGTGAGACACAGGGCTTTGATTCCTGTCTCCACTACTTTCCCACCTCCTGAAGCCTCAGTTTCCTCCTCTGTAAAATGGGGCTGATACCAGCGCACATCCTTCAAAGAGTCCTTGGTGGATAGAATGAGTGGATCCACGCGGCAAGTGCTCACGTCCCGGCAGCTGCCATTCCTTGGTGGTTTCTTCATCTGTGCCAAACCAACTACCAGAACGCTTTTCCCTTTTAACCACTCTTCAATTACGACAACCCATCTCTTGAGCTGCTAAGTGGAATTTTTTTGCTGATGCTGCTGCACCGGCTTCAGAAGGATGCTACTATCGTGTTTGTATTTTCTCCCCTGAGAAGAGGGGTGTCTCCAGTGTGGTGCAGTCTCTTGCTGCTGTGTGCACAGAGAATAAGCAGGCTGGTGAAGGGGCGACTCAAGATGACACGCCTGAGCCTTATGGATCTTTCGAGAGCCGATCCTTTAGCTGACCTGGGCACTCGGTCCCGTGTCCCCTGCCTCGCCTGTTCAAAAGTTTACTTCAGTGTTCCAGGCCCGCTCATCCACCTGAGACAGCCCAGCACTGAGACCCGAAAGCTGCTCCCAGTGATGATCCCAGAGTGAGCGGTACCTGGGGCTGAGCCCAGGGAAGCAGGCGAGGTCGGCTGAGAGCCCACACCAAGAGTTTGGGCTCAGCCCTGAGAGCAGAGCAGAGTCACTGCAGACAGGCAAGCTGGGGTTTCACACCCTCCTGCAGGACCGGACCCTGACACTTGGTCTCCTGCTTCACTCAGTTAGATGTTCTGCAACTCATACTAAATTGCAGGACATAACAGTTGATCTATATTGTGAAATAAAATACCAGTCTGTAATCCATCACATTTTCCACTTTTCCGAACGGAGACTGTCAATGCAAAACAGGAATTACATTATGTTGGATTTCAAGCCATAGGAAAGAAGCCTAAGCTTCAGGAAAGCCCTTTTCTGTCCTGCCCTCTCTCTTAAGCCGTGTAAATTAAAGCTAAATATCGGTAGAAGGAGTTATCTGTTTTATTTGGAAGGTAAGAAATGTGTCTGAATGTGCAAATTCTCACAAAGTGAAGGAGAAACAAGTCTGTATTTCCTCAGCAGACAACAGGCTTCTGGATGGAAGTACCTGTCCTCCCTCCTGTGCTTCTGCCACCGGTGGGAGCGAACACCCCCTAACTTCAGGGCTCAGTCTGCCTTCCACGGGACTCTTCAGATACCAAAGAAAAGCCCCTGAAATTAAGACTAAGCAGAAAATCTGTCTTCACGGTTTTCACGGCACGCACACATGCACACCCAGGCACACACGCAAAACACTCGAAGCCGAAACAAAACAGGGAAACAATGACTTTTAAAAGAAAGTGAAAGAAAGAGCTTAAATCAAGTGGAGGGCTGTCTGTTGGCACCGAGCAAAGGGGAGATAAATAACTTTGATTTGTGCAGCCTGAGCGGAGGTGGGAGGAACAGTACTGTGGGCTTGAGATCAAACAAAGCGAGAACCAGGATGGTCCCTTCCGGTTCCCCGAAGCTGTCCGTTCTTCTCCTAGAGGTTATGAAAGGTTTTTTGAGACAAGCTGAACAAACGAGACCCTGTTCCTTCCTTGGGAAAACTTGTTTATACTGAATCCGTCTTTAGACCTCGTAAAAGCTGGTGAAGAATCAGTCCGATTCTTCCACACTCAGCAGATGCGGACAGGAAAAGGCTCCTATGATGACATGGAAGCAGGGCTCACACAGGGCCCTAGCAAGCAGGCCGCACCGACAGAGGGGAAGACATACGCACAGTCTCCAGCTCGTGTTTAGGGAATAACGGGTTTTGAAAGGACAGGAGAGTGACCGCGATCGAGGTAAATTATCCCAACAGCATCCTCTCCTCCACCACCCGTGCGGTCTGAGGATTCCTTTTGGAACTGTCAAAGCGTCCTAGCCGAAAATTATTCTCAGTGGCTGAAATTTGGTGAAACAAATTCCACTGCACAGGGCAAAACTGAGTTACTTTTGGAAGTGCGGTGGGGGAAGAAGTCTCAGGCAGGAAACCAGAAAATAACACGGTCAGCCAGACAGGAAGTGCCACCCCCACGCAGGGCCCAGGGAAGCAGGTGATGGAAGCCGACAGGGGTCCCAGCCGGAGGGGGCCTGGACTCACCCTGGAGAGTCCACTAAGGAGGGCCTCACCAGGATGAGTGGTCAGAGTCAACACTGGTGCCAACCAAACCCACCCGGAGCAAGATGTCGGGCGCTTTGGCCCAGTGACCCAAACTGTCCTAATCTGAGCACCAAAATAAATATTGATAATGTGAAATACCCACAGAATAAAATAAATACCTGCAACTCCATACTGATACTAAAAACATAGCTAAATGAATAAATTACAGGGGCTGGTGAGAGAAAGGACAGATACCCCTGAAGCAGAATATCTATTGATAAATGTGGAAGGTACAGCGGGGAGGGTAGAGCTCAGTGGTATAGTGTGTGCTTAGCATGCACGAGGTCCTGGGTTCAATCCCCAGGATCTCCTCTAAAAAAAAAAAATAAACCTAATTACCACCCCCATAAAAAAACAAATGTAGAAGGCATAAGAAAAACAGAAAATCCCTGTTGGGCAAACATTACAGTAGTAATTGTTGCTGGTAAGAACTAGTGATGGATCCTAAAATTTGCAGGTAAAATTATGATTAAAAAAGCAGCTCTAGTATCCTTGCCAAACAGGTGCTTTGTATCTTTAGAAACAGGTCAAAGTACCTTCCCATGAGGTACATATTAATTACAAACGGAGGAAGGAGTATCTTTACAGAATGAAGCAGGGAGACACCACCTGAACAAGTGATGAAGCTGGACATGGACACCCCTTGGCCCACGTAACCCGGAGTGGCGCACAATGTCATTTCGGCGGTGTTCTCACCTAAACATGCACAGTCCCCGTCTGATCACGAGAAGGCAGCAGAGAAACCCAGAGGGCCAGACGCCCATAAAGTAACTGCTCTCAACTGTTCACAAGCGACAAGGTGTCAGAGACACACAGACTGACCACCCGCCCACACTGCAGGAGACCACGAGGCATGTGGCACAGACCCTACGTGGGACATGGACTCCTAGGGTGCATCCTGTTTACTGAGGGCTTGGAGGCTGGAGAAGGTCCTGTAGGTTAATTAAGAGTAAATGCTGCCCCCACGGCCATTCCTGGTCATCCATAGCTGTGCTTGGTTGAGGTGAGATGTTAACAGGAGGGGAAGCTGGGTGGGCCGTAGGGGGCACTCCCTGTGCTCCTTGCACAACAATCCCGAGTCTAAGTTACACAAAACAAAGGGTCAAATATAAAACTGGAGGTAGCGTGGCCTGACGTAGCATCCAGCCAGGACCAGGTTGGGACACATACATTTCTAAGGTGAGACCTAAGACCCTGATGGAAACTCTTGAGAGACAGTTAGAAGAGGATAAAGTGATGTAGACATTCTCATCTCCAGGAAGGTCAGGGGATCATACTCTCTGAAGCAGTGACATCTACCCCCACACCCTTGAAGAATAGTGCATTCCTCAACAAGCTTTCTTCACTAGATTTTTCAAAACCTAAATAAATACATCAAACCATTCCCTTGTTTTGTCCAACAGAGAAAAGTTATGCCCATCAAAGGACATTTTGAGTCAAATCCATTTCCTGGACCTTATAATTCTGAAAAACCTTCAAATACAAAAAGAAACAAAAATCAGATACTTTTCTGAATAATGGTATCCATTTGATAAGAAGAAATAATTCTTATAAATTTTATCAGTGTTCATCACTTGCCAGATATGTAAATAACTGTGGAGAGGTGTGTCAAGAGAAAAGTACATTATACTTCAGGAAAGGAGATAATGAAAAGATTCTCAAAATCAATAATTATCAGAGGAATGCAAGTCAAAACTACAATGAGGTATCACCTCATGCAGGTCAGAATGGTCATCATTAAAAAGTCCGCAAACAATAAATGCTGGAGAGGCTGTGGAGAAAGGGAACCCTCCTACACTGCTGGTGGGAATGGAGCTTGGTGCAGCCGTTATGGAAAACAGTATGGATATTCCTTAAAAAACTAACAGTAGAGTTACCATCATATGATTCAGCAATGCTACTCCTGGGCATCTATCTAGAGAAATCTCTAGTTAGAAAAGATACATGCAGCTCAATGTTCATAGCAGCCCTATTTACAATAGCCAAGACATGGACGCCACCTAAATGTCCATCAACAGATGACTGGATAAAGAAGTTGTGATATATGTATATACACAATGGAATATTACTCAGCCATAAAAAGAATGAAATAATGCCATTCTGCAGCAACATGGATGGACCCAGAGATGAGCATACTAAATGAAGTAAGTTGGACAGAGAAAGACTAATATCGTATGGTATCACTTACATGCGGAATCTGAAAAAATGACACAAATGAACTTATTTACAAACCAAAAACAGACACGCAGGGAAAACAAACTTATGGTTACTGGGGGGAAGCAGGGGAGGGAAAAATTGGGAGTTTGGGGTTAACAGATACAAACTGCTATGTACAGAACAGATACACAACAAGGTCCAACTGTATAGCACAGGGAACTACATTCAATAGCTTGAAATATACTATAATGAAAAAGAAAGAAGGGAGCTAAAATGCTTTATGCTCCAAACCTGGCTTTCAGCTGTAAAACCCAGGCTTGGTTTTTAAAGCACAATTTCACACTGCTCTGGAATGGCTGTGGACTGCCAGATCTCAGCTAGCTCTCAGTGCGGTTAACTCTCTTGTCTCCCTGGAATCACACTGAAGCAACGACCACGACACTGCATTTGAAGGCCCGTCAGGCACCGCCGTGCCGTGACAGGGTCCACGCCTACCTCCCACCGCGTTGCAGCGGGACGTCATCTCCCAGAGCACCAGGGCCATGGAGTAGACATCCGTCTGCTTGAAGGACTCAACGTTCTCCAAATTCATCCTGGACTCGAGGACTTCTGGGGCCATGTATCGTGCAGTTCCCACCTGAAAACAAAAACAGACACGGGGACCCATCATTTCATTCCACCTGCATTCCTGTCTTCAAAATCTGCCATCTGACCCGCACAGAAAGGGGCAGCTTAGGTAGGTAGTTTTTTTTAAAATAGGTGTTCTCACCCTGAAAACCAGAGACTATAAAGCAAAAAATGCCAAAATAAGGAAAGGACAAGCCTCAGAGCTGCCTTTTGTAGCCCTGTGATCCATGTCATCACATTATGGAGACAGTAACCTCCCTGCAGAGAGCCTGGGAGACAGCGTCAGGGGTCCTTCCCATGTTTATTTTTGTCTCTGCAAATTGAGTATTTTTTTTTTCATTCTTGAAACTCCAAGATGTATGGGGAAGATAATACTAATTGCCATTCATTTTTGTCACTTGAGGACTCTCTCCATCTTCTTTGTTTGTCCCATGGCCCATTCTAGTGCACGGAGGATGTAGTGTAATTTCATAAAATTTCTACTGATTTCAATTGTGTGAAAGTATTTCCACCATCAAAGCCCGAACCTGGATCATTTTGTAATTTTGATGGGCATGCTCTGTAGCTTTGTTTGGACAGTGACTAACAGTATGAAAACACTATATAGGAAAAAAAATATTCCTAGGGGAAAAAAAAAATCACCTGAATGTTGGATAATGGAGCATGTATAGACTGACAAAATAGCAAGGAAGTCCTGTTTTCCCAAGGATCCAGGGAATGTCACGTGAGCTGATAATATTACCCCAAATGATGCTTTTTTAGGGGCATGCATTAGAAGAAATTCTTTTTAATAGGTCACTGCATGACTTGTTACCCTGGCACATCAATCTGTTCGTGTTTCAAGCCGTTTAACTGGATGTGCTCCGTGGACCCAGAGGGCTACCCTAGCAGTAACTGGATTCATCAAAAGCATGTCCCTCCACCTGGCTAGAGGAAACAGCGGTGCTCTCAAGAGCCCACACCGACCCACAGCCAAGCTCCCAGTGTATGAAACATGGGCCTGTCATTCATAAAGGATGATGGTCAATTTCACCCGTTTCTAGTGGCTCTATAGCCAAAAAGGTTTCAATTTTAATCTGTGAGATGCTTCAGAAGGGGAAGTGTGCCTTCATGCAGCCCATCACTCACTCCACAAGTACTTATGGGTGGCTTTTCCTGTCCAGGACACTGGGCTGGGTGTGACCACATGGAGGTGGATCTGGCCTTCAAGGAGTCTGCCTTCTAGAATGGTAAAAAGAAGCCAGTGGTAAGGACCAGGAGGACAGAGCAGAAATGGCTGGGTACCACCACAGGACGGGAAAAAATTGAGTGCAGCCCGAGCAGTGTTTGAAGCAAAGAAAAGTAATGCACAAGTGGAAGAGACGTGAGGCTGGACTCAGGGAGGAAATGCCTGTCCTGAACTGGGAAGGACGTGAAAACACAGGAAGAGAGATGCTGTGGGTTGGCAAAGGCGCCCCGGCAGGAGGGTGGGGCATGGCCCAGGGTTAACCCCCAGCCTGGCTGGATCAGAGCGCGGGGCTGACGGAGCCGAGATGGAGGCGAGGCCCAGAAGGCGAGGGGTCCGGCCACCCTACCTGCCCACTGTTGGCCAGGTCGTCCACAGACAGAGTCGGGTCCAGACGCAGGGAGAGCCCGAAGTCGCAGAGGCAGCAGGTGAGGTCGCCCTTGACCAGGATGTTGGAGCTCTTGAGGTCCCTGTGCACGATGGGCATCTTGGGCCGGCCGCACAGGGTGCGGTCGCTGTGCAGGTGCGCGATGCCGCGGGCCAGTGAGCCGCCCAGCTTGCGCAGGTCCTCCCAGCTGACGACGTGCCGGGTGAGGTACTCCTGCAGGTTGCCCTTGGCGTGGAAGGCGGTGATCAGCCAGTACTGCTTGCCCAGCTCCGTCTTGCGCTCCTCGGCCGTCAGGAACTGGAGGATGTTCTCGTGCTTGAGGTTGATGTCCGAGAAGATGTCCTTCTCCGTCTTCCAGGAGGCATACTCCTCGTAGGGGAAGATCTTGACGGCCACGGTCTCGAACTGCTCGGACGTGTTCTGCCGCAGCTTGGCCTTGTAGACCTCGGCGAAGCGGCCCTTGCCCACCAGGGTGTCCAGCTCGATGGGCAGCAGCTCCGTGTTGTGGTTGATGTTGTTGGCGCAGGTGGAGCTGATGTCGGAGCGGTCGTCTTCCAGGATGATGGCCAGGTGCTCGCTGAACTCCATCAGCTTCCGCGGCTTCCCCGAGTCCCAGGACGAGCTCAGCTTCTGCTGCCGGTGAACACGGTAGCAGTAGAAGGTGACGATGACGGCGACGGCGATGCCCAGTGGCGGCAGGAGGCTGACGCCTGTCACCTGGAATATGACTAGCAGCAAGTCTGGGTTGTTGGTGGCGTACTCTGAAGCGGAAGCACAAAAGAGAAGGAGTTGGCTTGGTGGGTGTGCACGGCGGGGGAGTGGGTCCACACCCCAGCATCTTAAACTTCACCATCTGCACAGTCTTTGTGGGTAACAGATCGTGAGTCTTTCTCCTGGGATGGATGCTAGTGTGCACGGGTCCAGTCTTCCCCGCCTCTGGCCATCTAATCAATGTCTCCTTCTCTTCCCTCTACACTCAGCTTAAGGGTCACTCCCTAAAGGAAACCTAGGAAAACTTGGGAAAGTGTTCTATTTTATATATTCTCATAGCACGCCACATTTGTCCTATGTAACAAGCGAGCACAATTTGAGTTAAATAATTAGGACTCCACTTTTTGGTTTCATCTGTCTTTCCCTACTCTCCCCACCTCCCCCGCAGACTGAGAACGCTGTGCTGGCAGGGACCAGGGCTACGGTGCACAGCGCCAGCACACGAGAGGGCCTTAGTACGTGTTGAATGAATGAGCGAAGCATTTACTGAGTGTTAGCAAAGCTCCAAGCATGGCAGGCGGCCTTGGGAATACAGAAAATGACAACTCCTGCCTCCAAAACGCTCGCATAGATGGTATCTGATGAAAACAAAGAGACAGCCACGGCCTGCCCTAGTCTCTGCGCTTTTCTAAACTCCAGCTTGTCCTGTTCCATCAACATTCAGGCTACCATGCAGCATCAGCTATTAGTTGGGGGAGAGGAGTCTGTGCTAAGGGTCTCTTTGGAAGTCAGTTACATTGTGTCTCCCCCAATACTACCCTTCTCAGTGTGCATGTGATTTGCAGTTTCATAGAACCGAAATACTGAGTAGCAACAATGGAAACATTGCTGCACAAGTGAGAGAACTTACAGGAGGAAGTATATTTCTGAACTGGCAGAAAACCTCAAGGGGAAATTCCAAAGTATAGGTTCCTTCAGAGTGATTTAAAAGTAAACAGGTTGCCTAATTACACACACACACACACACACACACACACACACTCCACACAATGAAAACAGGTCGCTTCCAGGCTCTTTTAAGTCCTCTGTTAGGCTCCAGTCCAACACTGGTTGCTAAAAGGAACTGAAAACTGAGCATCTACAATTCAGTATTTTTAAAAAATCACATAGTAAAAAAAGACATTAAATTAATAAGGCCAACAGTCTAAACGCCTAGGTGGGTTGGTTAATGTGTCTTGATAAAAACCAAGTCGACGTAGGTGAATTTGAGAGATGGGCTCCTGCATTTGAATTAGTTCTGCAATTCTTCTACTCACTGAAAGAGTTTGGGGCAAAAATTTTACCAAGATACTAAGGTATCCAAACAACAGAAAGGGACACTCATGATCTACATTTTCCGTAGACCTCAGCGTGTTGCTGAACATCACACAACCACCACAGAGATTCTTGAGGTTGGCAGTGACACTTTAACCACAGAGATTTTCACATGCCAACATGCTCATCTAAAGCAACAGGATATATATGTAACTGGCCGAGATCCAAAGGAGGAAACTGCTAAAGAGAGATACGCTGTGGGGAGGGAGAACTTCCTGTCTCGAGTCATTACCTTAAGTATAATATTTCAAAGTACAGCAGTCATTAACTGAGCAAATACTAAATGCCACACATTGTGCTTTTCATGGATTATCTTGAACCCTATGGATTATCCAGTTCCGTATCCTTGATCCCATTTCACAGAAGTGTAGACGGAAGCCTCTGTGAGCAGTGAGCTGGGCTCAAGCAGAGGAGGCTGGCGTCAAAGTCACGGATGCAGCTGGAGGGGCTCAGGGTCACCAAAGGGGGACGCTTACGGCCAAATCCATTAGAGGATATAACATAAAATCTATTTTAGATCAGAAACAAAGAAAACAGCTACTATCGTTGACCACATTAACAGTTCAAAGGAGAAAAACTGATTTGGATTCTATGTTCCAGGAGACGTAACTCAAGGTACCGACGCCCCCTGAACATTTACTGGCTGAGTTCCAAGCATGTTCGTTCAGCATACAAAGGCAGTGTTGCAGCCCTGGCCAGGCGTGGACCCGCTGGGATCCCTAGAGGGAAAGATACAGGATTTCATAAGGCACGAAGCAGATTGCTTCTTCATTCTGTGACACTCCACACCCTATCACCTACCTCTGTTCTCACCCCATCTCACCCCCAACACCCCGCTATGATAATGGATTCATCTTAGGATATACATACTTTCTAAGTCCAGAGTTACTATATATATTCTTTCTATCTTGGGAGTTGCAATATTTTGCATATTTTCTGCATCTTTAAAAATACAGGTGGCAATGGTACAAAAAGGATCTCTTGGCACCCTGCTCTTCCAGATGTGTTCCCTGGACCAACAGCGTCAGCAGACATCACCTGGGAACTTTGTGGAAATGCAGACTCTCAGGCCTGACTCACAAGGCTGGATCAGGATCTGCATTTTACAAAGTTCTCTCGGTGATTCATTTAAACGATAAAGCACTGCTTTAGCGCACATGGGATAAGTTCCTTGAGATTCTGCCACAAAGCTGTTTCTTTCCCTCTTGCAGAGAAAATTCACAGTGAACTTGTACACTCATATTCAGTGCTAGCCAAAGAGAAGGTGGTCCATGCCTCCCCGGGCTGACCCGGGCTCCCCTGACGGGGAGGTTTTTGTTCCCTTCTCCATGATACCATCTTCTGACCACTAACTCAGCTTGTGCTTTGTTGAGACTCCCCCACCTGCCCCAATTCTTTCATTCTTTGCCTGGATGCCTGTCTGGATGGGAGCTCCCACCTTGTCTCGGTTTGTTTTCAGGAATTCTGAAAGCAGAAATAGAGTGCTTCCATTATTTCACTATCTTCTCCCACTGGGAGACTAGACCTCCTGAGAAAAGCACATTAATGAAGGGGAGAGGGTACAACTCAGTGGTCGAGTGCGTGCTTAACATGCACGAGGTCCTGGGTTCAATCTCCACTACCTCTATTTAAATAAATAAATAAACCTGATTACCTCCAAACAAAATAAAAGCACACCAGTTATGCACGTTATCAATACCTGTCTTGTCACTGAAACACCTCCTCCCTTCTCTCTGGCTCCACCTGAATCAAGCTCCTGGCAGCTCCTGGCAGCTATCCTCCGCCCAACATGCGCAAGCATCCTCACCTCCTGCCACCGACTGTGCGCGCCGACTCCCTCCCTGCCCCGGGCTTGGCTGTGGCTGTGGTACCCAAACCCTCCAACCTTGACCTTGCTCTGCAATTGCTTATAAAATGCTGGGGCACAGCCATACCCTCTATTAAGGAACCCTCTTTTTTCCCAGGGAGGAGTGATCCAGGCGTGCGCTGGCTCGTTCGGCTCCTGGCCTAACCTAGAGGGCTGAATCTGGCTACTTCCTGTGGAGGTGGCCGTTCTCTACTTGTTACCATCATTTTTTTTTAGGTTATATGGGGAACTTGATGAAAAATATAAAAAGATTTGGCAGAACAAACTGTCCTGAATCTAGTGCTTCCAACATTGGCTGCATATTAGACTATCTTGGCAAGGTTTTGTTTTTTGTTTGTTTGTTTGTTTTTAATCCTGACACCAGGCCCCAGACCAATTAAGTCCGAAACTGGCGGACTGAGACTCAGTTAATGAGTTGTTTTTCAAGCTTCTCAGGTGTTTCCAAGGTGCGGCCAAGGCCGAGAACAACTACTTCAGTCTGACAGGAGAACGGGACAGGACCCAGAAAAAGAGAAGAAATGAAAGGAATTTTCATCACTCGATTTGGCATCCACTGTTCCCGACCCTGGAACCAGCCACATGTGGCATATATTTCTGTAAAGTCAAGAAGCAAATATGAGTTCTTTTAAAAAGTTAGTATTTTTTTAAGGCAGAATTATGGCTGGGACCATTGATACTTTACAGAGTTAGCAATGTGCAAAAGTTACTGGAGGATCTGAAAAGGTTTACCAAAAGCAAGTCAGCCAGATGTCCAACTAGAGTTCAGTATGGGCAGAAATGAGGGTCAGTTTCCCAGTGGTCAGCTAGCTCGCTGGGGTTTTTCCACTGCTGGGACACCAAGGTGCTTGTAAAGTAGCAAACACAGTCCCTGGACCCCTTTTGCCATCACCCATCTGTGTGTTGTTTACAGAACATGAGGAGGTGGCTCTGAGGAGAGACCACAGACTTGTAGCAGCGCCAGCCTGACTGGTCCAGCCGTTTTATTGGTCACACACATCCAGTGGATGGGCTCCGAGACAGACTGTGTCCTTAATGGATTCCACTCTGCTGTGATTCACGTAAGAATAAGGTTCCCCGGGTAGAAATATTCACAGCCGGCAACCACATCTGGCCTCACAGCATCTTTGTTTACTCTGCTGCTTCAGGAAAAAAAAATCTACAAAAGCGAGTTGCTTTGCCTGAAGACACTACAAATACAGGCTAAGCTTCACTCGACTGAGTCACAATGCCCTCTGGCATGTACAGTCTTTATTATGTCCTTGGCCAGACATGGGCCATACTCACGGATTCAGAGGATGCTTCTAACCTAACGCATTTGCGACCAAAGTCTCCTTCAGCACTGAGTCATCCCCTCAGAGGACTGATTCTGCTTTCCCGGAATGAGACGAGTGACTTTTCACCCAACATTTTCTTCCTCTGCTAACAACTTTCCCCCACCGAATTGCCACAGTTACTGGTTTTTTTCTTTTGCATTTAGACCAGAAAGGAAATCTGGTTCCTTTCTCTTGAAACAAAAATGCACAGCTGGCGAGCCAGCTATTTTGAGTTGGGAGCGTGCACTTCAAAGGCGGCCGCCCCAGAGCCCGGAGCCGCCGAAGCACCGTTATTCCGCCCGTTTCTTACACGCGAGACCTCAGAGCTCCCCGCAGAAGCCAGCTCCCGGATTCTGGAGCCACACACGCAGAATGAGATCGGAGAGCAAGCGAGGCAGCAGCACCTCCAAGCCTTCCCCGACTCAGCAGGCAAGACGAGTCCGTAACAGGACACAAGGCACGTGATGTGCTCCATGCAGGGGTGGGTTTGCTGGGTGGCGGGAAGCAACGTTACTAGGGTCACAATAGGTCCAGGGGGAACCAGCTGGCTGAGATGTTCTGCGAGCAAGTTAAACAGAGACAGGAAACCGCGCGTCTGATACTGTAAAAAAAAAAAAAAAAAAAACCATTCGTCTTCCTGCCAGCTTGAGGCTTGCAAACCCAAGAGGCTGTTTTCGTTTAAAAGAAATTCTTCAACAATGAGAGAGGAAAGGAGGAAACCTGGTGGCTACCAGGAGCCCCAGTCTCCTCGCGCACAGCCGCTCCGGGGAGGGCGCATGCGCACGACTGCAAAGCCTGCAGGCAGCCTGCGGGTCCGCAGGGAGCGCACACCGCGTGATGGCCTGCTTCTCTGTTTAACCGCAGAGGTTGAACTTTGAGTCACAGTGGTTTCCAGAGTCCTGGCTTCTAAGTGAATGAGATATAACTGACTCATTTACTGATCCGTCCATCCTGTAAAAAAACATAACATCTCATGCAACAGAGAGATGGAGGAAGACAAAAGAAAAGTGAAATGGGAGCTGGAATCAAGATAAGTGGAAGAGAAACGCGGGAAAGCAGGCCAGCGGGGGTGATGCTGGTACACAAAATGCACGCCCACACACTTGCCCGAAGCACGACTGGAGCATGTCTGGTA